GCTTAGATAAATCTTTAGCAATAGACTATAAAAATCATTAGATAGATATTGAAGAGAATGTAATTTAAAATACTATTATAAAATTACCTTTTTGATCTCTTTCTCTACTTTCGTTTCTTTTATGATTTTCTTCACTAATACCCCTATATTTTCTTTCTCTTATATTTAAAGTAATATTTTCTTGATGAGAATATGGAATTTGACTTCTATTCCTGTTTAGTAAAATATCTTCTTGTTTTTGATAAGAGAATGGGATTTAATTTCTATTTCTGTTTAATGGAAAGGATGGAGCTTGACTTCTATTTCTGTTTAATGAAAAGAATAGAGTTTGACTTCTGTTTTTGTTTAATGAAGAGAATGGAATTTGACTTGTATTTTTGTTTAATGAAAAGGATGGAGTTTAACTTGTATTTTTATTTAACAGAAAGTATAACATTTGACTATTATCTCTATTTAATAAGGTATCTTCTTGATAAGAGTGTGTAATATCTTCTAGATATGAAATATCTTCTGGGTGTAAAGTATCTTCTAGGTGTGGACTATTTTTCCAATAAGAGTATGGTGTTCGACTTCTACCTCTTTCTTCTTACAATAAAGTTATTCTATTATAATACTGAAATAAAGTTTAGAATTTTGTAGTCTTATCTTTAAAAAAAAATTCTTTTACTTATTTATATTTATTCATCATTATAGAATAAGGAAAAATATCAAATAAACTAAAAAGGGTAAAAAGAAGAAAGAGTTTAAATTAGATAAAATAATCTTAAATAAATCTATATATATGCAATAAATATAATAAATTAAACTTTACGCCAATTACAATATAATTTATAATAATCAAATAAATAAAAATTTTCTCTTACATTTTGTTAAAATGCCTTATAAATCTAACACTCAAAGCATTCAAAAACTCCTTATACTCGTCCTCCTCAAACTCAAAAATTTGTATTATACTATTGTCAGAATTGTAAAGGAAAATTAGTAGATCTAAGGACTAAAGCAGCTCATATTAAATATACAATTGTATCTCAACAACAAAAAACTGCTGCTAATTTTTCTGAAGCATCAGAAGTATTATTAATTATTTAATACCTTCAGATCCACAAATTGATATGAAGAATCATAAGAAGAATACTCAAATTTAGTAAAAAAGACACCAATTAATTTTCAAAGAAACAAAACTTCTAAAATTTTACCTCTAAAAATAATAAATGAATATTCTCTGATGATAGTGATAATGATGCACTTGAAGAAGATAATAAAAGAAACTTTAAAGATAATATTTCAGAATATTCATCTGATAATTTAGAGGAAAACAATCAAGTAAATTTCGATGCTTCAGAAGTAGAATTAGAGGAAAACAATTTTAGATATACTGAAGAATTAAACAATATCTTTTCATGGATTGTTGTATGGATCTTAAAGTATCAAAAGAGATTTTAATTATCTAACGTAGCTATAAATTCTCTCTTTAAATTTTTTCGCTATGTTCTTGTTAATTTAGATAAGATCACATTTTCAACCTTTCCTTTATCTCTCTATATGGCATATAAGAGTCTTGGTATTTGTATACATTTAATAAAATATGTAGCTTGCGAAAAATGCTATAAATTATATAATATTGCTGATGTATCTAACAGTAGTCCTAATTTTACACCTAAATATACAAATTATGTATTCCAAGATTTCCCTAACCATTTAATGAGTCATAAAAGGAATACCTGTGAAGTTCCATTATATAAATAAATTTAAACGAAAAATAGTATAATTAAAAAGTCAACCTTAATATTTCCTATAGTTAGCTTGAAACACCAGCTGAATCTTTTATTCAAATGAAAAGATTTCAAAAAATCATGTTGAAAATGGATTAATCATCCTTCTGACCCAGAAATTCTTGCTGATATTTATGATAAAAGAATATGGAAATCATTTAATGATGAAAATAAATTAAATTTCTTTCAATCAGATACATCTGATACTTATCTCAGAATAATACTCAATATGAATTGGTTTCAGTCTTTTGAAAATTCTCAATATAGTATTGGAGTAATTTATGCTATTATTTGCAATTTACCTTGAGATGAAAGGTTTAAACCTTCTAATATAATAACATTAACATTAATTCTAGGTCTAAGAGAGCTATCATTACACCACTTAAATTACTATTTGGCTTCTCTGGTTAATCAATTCATAAAGTTATAGCATGGTATAGAATTATTAAAAACCTTTGAGCATCCTAATGGAAAAACAATTAGAGGTGTAATTATATGCTGTTCTTATAATATACCTGCTGCAAGAAAGCTTTGTAAATATATATCTGCAAGAATTGTATGTCATTGATGTCTTAAACATACTAATTTTAACGAAAGAAACTAACCAAATTTTGGAGGATTGTCTGATATGGATAACTGATTTATAGAAAGAAATGTTGAGAAAATTAAATATGATGCTCTTGAATGGAAAAATTGCAAGACAGAAGAGCAACGTCAGAATCATGTATCAGAAACATTAGTACAATAGTCTAAAATGCATAGATTACCTCATTTTAATCCAGTATGTTTTCTTGTTATAGATTCAATACAGAAATTACTAAATGGATTATAATGAGATTATAGATCGAAGAAGAAAAGTTAAGACCAGAAGATTTATCACTTATGCAAAAAAGAGCAAATTGAATTCAGATACCTGTAAACATTGGCAGACTTTTAGACAAGATATCAACAGAAGAAGGTTTTTCTGGGTTCTCTGCAGACCAGTGAAAAAATTTCATGCTGATATATTTAACATCTATTATGTGAGACCTCTTAGAAGAGTGTGACTGAAGAATTTTAGCAAATTTTGTTTGTGTTTGCAAGGTTTTGGTATGCAAAATAATATTAAAAGAAGATCTTAAAAAGCTTACCAACATTTAATAACAATGGTTAAAGAAATTGAAAAAACTTACGGAGCTA